CACTAAATTCAGCTAGGCACGAACCCACTTGAACTTTGGAGACTAGCTCAACACCTGTCAACGGGGTTTCACTTGCAAACGATGCTACACATTGCCCATCAAGTACTTAGGCCTTGTCATGATCCGTATAAACATGAGTACCATTGTCTCGCATCGACACTGGAATTGACGAGTTTGAACCACATCTGCTAGACCTTTCTCAAAATAGAGCTGAGCATTCCTTAGGTCTTGCCTACATTTGTTTCTATTCTAACGGTAACTGTACGTCCAATTCCGGATACTAAGATTGTAATAACTGCGCTCAGCTTGATGGTTATGCAAAACATAGCGTCACGTTTCCACTTACTCAATGTCCTTTACGTACCAGTCTTTCAGATGTTTGGTTACAGATGTTGATCGCTATTTGAGGCCCTGCGAATGGACATGGCAATATGCTTTCCCATTTATTACATGCATGCCGTATGTTTGGATGTTAGGAGGTGCCTGGTCAAAATATTATTTCCTAGATCCACGAGACTTGTGTACCTAATGGATGCAGAGTATTTGAGTGCCTTGAATACCAATCTATAATTGAACAAGCCATCGTCGTTTAATGTTTTCCAACAGATCTTTAAAGCATACAAAAAGCACCCTGCTCGAAGGCAACGGAATTCAGACAGTTTATGTCACGTACAAGCCCAGTCGTTTTACGAGGCTTGTTAAAGCCAGCCTATTATCAACATTTCTTTGACTTACGTCTGGGTTGCATCCGGGTTACAGTCGATTAGCTTGACTTCTTCAACCATTGCTTCGTATTTCCATTGACGTGAAGCACGTTTCATGAGTACCCGACCAGGCTCTAATAGCCACGGAATGTGAGTGTCAGTGGTTATATATATATATATATATATATATATATATATATATATATATATATATATATATATATATATATATATATATATATATATATATATATATATATACCCCTTACTGAGGCTGATGTTGCATTCATGATGTTTCTTCACCGCAGTTGGGCTAAACCAACTTACACTTAAACGAGGTCTTTTTAATGTGGATAAAATTCATTACATGTTATTTGATTTGTTCTGCGTACTTGATAATCTTCTCCTTACTTGCATACGTCGCTCACGCAAATTGTGGTAAACTTGCGTAATTTTACCGCTTGGTATTTTTTAAATAACTCGGACATTTTGTATTTATCACGGATTCACTTATAACCAATTTCTTCTATATGCTCATTTAGCGAGTATTTATGTCGTCATATGCGTTTACTTTAATCGATATCGGCACTTCGAATGATTGGCTGTTGTTTAACATCCCAGGTGTGGCTGCGCTTGATGTGCATGTTGACAAGGTGCCTACCTATCTATTACCCACTACCTCTTCCATACTGGCTCCAGGAGACAGTTGGTCATTGCTGGAGGGGACGGGGTGCACGGTCCTTGTGCTCGTGCTAGGCTCGAAGAGTGGTTCCATGCATTCAGTGTGGAGCGAACTACAGTCCAGTCACCGCCTTGTGTACACTTGATTCCCCAAATACAGCGTGCTTGTGTTTGTCTGTGAAGGAGTGTGGGCCGGCTCCGTTGATGAAACGTGGCTCCCATCCGCATTCCTCCCGGTCTTATTCCTTTGGGTTTACACGGGATATGGTGTGTGTGGATGGAGCTGTGGGTGGTGCAGCGCAAGCCATCCATGGTCCCTCTGTAGGCGCAGGCGTCCTTTGTCTGGCCACAGTGACAGGCGAATCCGAAACCGGATGCCGCCAACCATATATATATATATATATATATATATATATATATTGAATTGGTCGACCACTTCCAACGGATGCCCCGAAAGGGTGAGAGAAGGGCATGCGCTTGGAAGGGGCAAACTCAACCTAAATTGGGCGGCGGACATCTCTAGTCCGAGCAACACATGCTGGGCTGCTTGGGAGGACTCGCGAATCACAGCGAAGGCGGTCACCAGGGAGCAGTTCAACACCGCAGGACTCAGAGTTATCCGAGGCAGTATCCATGATCTCGTCCATGGTGAAGTTGAACAAGAATGGGGAAGCTGGGCAACCCTGTCTAACACCGCTTGTGATACTAAAAGGGGGCGAAATTTCTCCGTATGCTCGCACACGGCCAGAAGTTTGATGGTAAATAGCGCGGAGAATGCTGATGTACTTCTCAGGTACTCCCTACTTCAGTAGGTAGTCCCAAAGAGCCACTCTATCAACAAAGTCAAAAACGGCTTGAATATCCAAGAATATGACTATAGTTGGTCGACTGAACGTATGGCGATGTTCAAGTATCTGGCGGATCGTAAAGATGTGATCAACGCATCGCGACCCGGGCGAAATCCAGCTTGTTGTTCACGCAAGTGCTGTTCCCTTACGGAACTGAACCTCCGTAAGAGTAGGCCGGCGAGCAGTTTGGATGCGACACAAATGAGATTGATACCACGATGGTTGAAGCAAATGGTCCGGTCTCCTTTTTGTAAACAAGTACAACATCCGCTACATTCCAGTCGGATGGAATGGTTTTAGTAGTCAAAATGTGATGGAATAGAGATGACAGTTCGCGAATGAGAGCAGAACCTCCATATTTGAAAAGGGCAGGAGAAAGTTCATCTGGGCCAGGTGACTTGTGGCGCTTTAGTAGACAAAGCTCATTGGAAATCTCCGTCTCTGGTGGTGGAGATACATCCACGCACCAAGGAGCACTGCGAACCCCGGAAGATAGACTCGGTTGCGCTGCTGGCCAGTTGAATTGATCTCCAAAGTGCTCTGACCATCGTATCTGACGACGGTGACGACTGTGTATACTTGCTTTCGGGTACGGAAAAATGTGAGTTGCTCTAAAATTCAGCAAAGTAATTTGCTTTCATTGCCGACGAATGCGCATACCAAACAGATCCGGTAAATCACTAAGTTAATCATAAAAATACCACCGCCGGATGTTGCCGAACTTGTCATTTTTTGGATTGATAGATTATTGCAACACTTTTCTCCCGAGTATGCAGCGATTACGTGAACATTTGAACCAGTTATTCACAAAGTGACAGACGAGTGTGATCAACTGAATGTCAAAGTAGGGGAAGAGATGCCTACAATCTGCTTCCGCAAACGCATTTTGCTCCGAAACTTTTGATCACGTTGTCAATTGACGTTTAAAATCGTGGTGTGGAAGCAATTCTACCCCACGAATTTCTTTATTAAACGAAGAGAACGATACTTCATGCCACTCAATCCTTAACCCCAGTGGAACGTGACTATGGAAAATCGAAGAAGAAGCACTGGCTGTTGTCGTTGCTGAACAAAGTTTCATGAATTGTATACGGGGGGCACTTAATTCTTATCACTGGCTTACAATCCGACGCTAGCCGTTTTCGGCTTCAGGAATGGCATACCAGTGTGTAAAGCGAATCAATTACCGTACTGGGCTACCATGCCATCTAACCACAACTCCAATATGAAATGTTTACCCACAAGCAACATCGGACAACCAGACAATCTTTCACAACTGATAAATGCACAGACTTTAGAACAAGAAGAAATGGTCGCCGCGGACATCGCCATAGAACCTGAATTCAGTCACTCTCTTGGAAACCAATTGTCGGGGACTTTTGATGTACTCTGAAAGGCAACTGAAACTGACACCACCCTCCAACACGATATGATATGTCACCAGCCCGTCTGGCCATCACACTGCCGAACTGAAAGGATCCAACAACTCTTCCAGCGGCGGAACGCATTATCTATCACCGATGGCTGCCATTTTACCGAACGCATCATCATTCCATTGGAACTTCACTGCAGAATTTTGACGCAGTTTCATATGGAATAACATTTGAACTGACACTTCGCTGCGCTACAACCACACTGACCTATGGAGGGGAGAATCATAGGAGGGAGAAAAGGGGATATAACATAAAGCTTTATTGCCCAAAGCAAACATTCAAGGTCATTGCACCTACACTTTGTCAATGACATCTTACAAACAGCCATCTTATGCAAAGATAAGGCGGCATCGGCGAAACAGCTTCCTTGCGATGTAATCTTTCCTCCACTCGCTCTTGAGATACCGGATTGTGATGGAATGGTCTCTTCGCTGTCATTTACGAAACAAGAGCTGCTGTAGGCAGCATCAGCTGTCATCGCATTGGAAGCTGTTGGAATTGCGGTGGCTCTTGGATTGTTGGCCGCTTGGATATGGGACCGGACATGACAACTACAACGTTAATGATTTGAACCAGCACGCGACGCGGCCTCTCGATTCTGGTTTGGGTGCGGAGGACAATAAACCTGCCTAGTTGGCTACAGTTGTTTACATCGCGATGACCCGACTTCAACCACGATCTCATTATGGATGTATACATAAAAATAAAACGGTGTGCGTTTACCTGTTTTACATTGTTTCATTTATTATCATTATTATTTTCTTTTTCCATTTATTTTACTACATCGTATTGCGACGTAGTAGCTGTATTATTTCTCACTTCAGTTAATATGTTGAATGGTGTTAATGCTTATTGCTTTATAGCGTGAATCCATTTTATTTGGCCCCCCACTTCGCATTGCAAATCGTTGTTATTTAACTAAACGTTTCTTATTTAACTTGTTCTTGTGTTTCTTTTCGAATTCGTGGCATTTTATCTTATCTTAGTTCAATAGTCCAATTCCACTTGAGCTCGCTTATTTCTTTCCCATGCACTTTCTGTGTCTATAGTGCTCTCCGAGACGTTAACTACAGGCATAAGTAGTACGCCGGTACGTCGTGCTGTCGCCCTGGTACCACGTGACCGCCAACAGCCACACGCAAGCTAGGAACACCGTACCTACGCAGGCTCGAACCGATAATATTTGGATTACAAACTATATGCACAAACCACGCGGCAGCCGACCGGCACTGTGTCACCGACTTGAGCCTAACTCCCTAGTATGATCTCTTGCTCGGTATAAGTTATTAGCACCGTCCTCTTGAAATGATGAATATTTTGTTTTCTATTTCCCAGGTTATTAGCCTTCTGAAACCAGGATGAATCCATCCACTAACCCCTCCTGTCAGTGCACCTATGATGGTGGCGTTACACCCTCTTGTGTCCTGGTTACAAGGTTGATTCTCTCAACCGACTAATAATATCCGACACTTTTGCTCCAAGATGACTTCTGCTACCGTGCTTTCGGGTCGTTCCTTAGCTCATGGTTCGTGGCATCTACAATCTTTCAACTTCCAGATATATGCCAACGTATCAAGGCAGGTGTAGCTATTTTGAAGTCAGAATTCAACATTTCACCAAAGCTCTCCGTTATTGAGGTAAGTTTTAATTCTACCCTTTCATCACGGCCATCTTGTAAACCACAATCACGAAACGCTTTTTGAGTTGTTTTTCCACACTTGTGCTTTTCCATTGGCTCTGCATTCTTTGCTTGTCTTATGCCCATTCTTTTCCTCGGTCTCTTAAATGAGCCGATGCCACATTTTTTACTTGGTCTGTGTAACTGGTGTTTTGAAGGAATTATAATTCGGACCAACTGGTAGCAATTAGTAGCGAAGAGCATTGTGGCAACTCTTATCAATTATCACTTTCAACTCTCGAGTATTCTTTCAGTACTTTTTTTTCCTTGTTATATCGGTGTTGTGATTAACTGCTGTTTTCAGGGTAATCGGCTTGTTTTGTCTTATCAACCTATCTAATGTAACTGAACCTTAACCTAACGCAATGGTTCGCCTTCCTCCGTCTTTGGATGTCAACTCTCACGTGTCTTAAGAGACTTTCATACAAATATGCATGATCAAATCTGTCGCATTGAAACTGGACTTTAATGTGTTGCGACGGTTTGCGTACTTCCTTGACTCATTGAGCTATATTGGGTGGTGCTTCCGAGTCCCTTGAAAGCTGCTCTTATCATTTTGGTCAATGGTGAGAGGTCAGACAAACTCAGTCTTCTGGTCCTCCAAGTTGGGGGTTTGCAATGGGATGGCGTCCATTTCCGTAAAACTAAATCATTTCCACCTCCACGCTGCCTTACGGACAGACTTTTGAGCCAAAGGCTTTGATTGTAGACCGTAATCGTCCTCCTGTCCAGATCTGGGCCCCCTGGCAGTACCTCAGCCCACATACAACCATGACTTTTTCTTCAAACATAAACTTCACCTTGCAACGGCCGTCGCGCAGATTAGCAAGCGTCGCCTTATCTGCTGCATATAGCAGGGCTGATAAGCGAACACATGCTACTGCTGGCGCCTCCCTTCTTTCCTTTCCACCTGTTTCTCTTACTCCCATCTCGACCCCCTTGCTAACTTTTTTTCTATAATTATCAGCTTAATTTACAGCAACCGAAGTGACACTGGAGTAGAGCCATCTACGACTACCTTCCCACAAGACCCATCGGACACCTATCTGCAACAGCCCCTTATAAGGCCACGCTGTCCCGTTTCCCTGGCGGGGTTCAACATTCGCACTCTAAGATAAATAGGTCAACAGGCTGCACTCGCACGTATGTTGGACACACTAGTTATTGACGTGTGGTGCGCATCCGAAACTAGGATCAATGACCCTAATGGAGGTGTTGCATTAACTGCGAGTTAACTGTGAGTTGTCACAGATAAGGGCAGTCACGTCGGCATACTCCAAATCAATAATTCTTCCACCTGGAGCAGGTCCACACCTTTTGGGCCGTGTCCAGCGAACGCTGTTTCCATGATTTCACCGATGGAGAAGTTAACAATTAGGGACAGCGGACATCCTTGTCTCACACCGCTGGAGATATTAAAGGGCGGTGTCAATTTCATATAAACCATCACACTACCCATACTATACACATTCATCGTTCTGATAATGTTGACGTATTTATGGAGGACTTTCTTAGCAGACAGTCCCAAACTGCACACCCATCCACCGAATCTAAGACATCTTTTATGTCAAAAACACGACTACAATAGATCACCAATATATGTACCAGTGCTCCAACAACTGATGTAAATTTGAGATGTAGTCAATACAGCCTCGATTTCAACGAAATCCGGCTCGGTTTTCATTGATCTGACCTTCACGAGTGCCGGTCAGTCTGTACTGCACGACATGGCAATCAATCTTGAGGCAGTTGAGGTCAGACTGATTTTTCCGTGATTACCGCATTCGGAACGTGAGCCATTTTTGCGAATTATGATTACAACCGAACAGCTCCATTCTGTCGGGTCAGTCTTCTGCTCCAACAGCTTCGCAAGTAATTTTTGAAATTCATCCACAAGATCACTTGAATATGAAAATGGCTGGAGGAAGTCTGTCCGCCTCTGCGATCTTATACAATTCCAACTGTCTGATCTCACATTCACTTCTGCTCTTGTGGGTTGATCCAAAGTGACGGCCCGGCGAGACAGGCAAGCAATGCTCGAAAAAGCCGATGTTCAAGTTGCTTAAGCTGCTTTCCAAAGTGTTCGGCCAAATGCTCCAAGCTCATTACGAAACAGTGGATCGGCTGTCCACTGTCGGCGCGTATTGTCTCGCTGACACTAGGCCTCTTGCCACCCGTTTCCGGTATCAGATGGAATAACACGATGTTTGCCAGCAGCAGTGGCTGTTCCTATCTCCGAGGCGCGATGGGACCACCAGAATTCGCGGTCTCTCTTCAGCCTAGCACGCAGTTTTACTCTGAGATTTTTGCTAATCTCATTGTGTTCGCTTCCACGCGGAACACGGCGAACATTTACAACTTTCAGCGACTGTGTAGTGACGCACATGAAGACAAGCCTGTTGATTGTAACGTTTGCCCAATATGCAACCAGTTTTCAGTGGGCGTTTACTTAACCCGGATGTCAGCATACTTTGATACACATTCAGAACGTAAGGCTTCGCCAATTAATTGCTGTCTACGCGCTCCAAGCACCGTTGCAGACGTTCGCCGAAACGCACGCACAAAATCATTGTCCAAGTCCACCCTTCTGCCCCAAATCGAGCGACAGCTTTGGACACAGTCTCTCCAGCGGTAACTGATCGCGTGGTGGTGAATTTTTGTCCATGGCTTGTAGGCGCCAAGTCACACTTCTGTGGGTGCGGTGTCAGAAGTTAGTGCTCATGAAAAATAGACGAGCAGCTCTCCTTTATCATCCGGGGAGCCTACACCTTGTTGGTCACCCAGCTAAATCTCCTCAGTGAGCAGTTTTCCAACTTGGGCGTTCAGACCACCAGCAATCACTACAGTATCCGTGCTTTTTTTCTGACCAATGGGTTCGTTATTTGGTGATAGAACTTACCTTTCACCATGTCAGCGTCATATTTTGTGGGCGCATACGCAGCAGTGACAATCAGGTACCGTTTGTCTGCGCACGGCTTCGACGTTTTGAATGAGACAGCCAGTCTGACGGCTCACATCCGGCTGTTGACTGGGATCCAATCGATTAGGGCAACTTAAGCTCGGGGTTCAAAACAGTGCTCACATTGTCTTGAGCGGCCTTTGAAGTTGCGTCATCTCCAGACAAATCCAGTGAGAAGGTGCCGCCATTGTCGCATGCTAGGGATCGTGGCGCAAGCGTAGAGCTCAACTTTTATAAGCGGGTTTCCGATAAGCAGTATATGTCGATCGAGAGGGTCTCTAGTGTTCGGGTAGATGCTGTCTGTTGACCAATCTGTAACAGTTCACACGTTGAGGCATGCGTCCTAGCGAGGATCGAGGGCTCTAAACAGAAACGGATGGACTGACTTCCGCTTTGTCAGACATAGAATTGTCGACTGAACCAGAGCGACGCCCTGCGATTTTGTGTGTGTAGCAAACTATATGACAAGTGCCTATTGAAACAAGTGGGAAGCGGCTGGAATTGGGGAGGAGGGTTGCAAACAGGGGGATAAAAATGAAGTTGGTAAGGTCATCAAGGATGTAATAGCGCAAGAGGTCGGGAATGTCTGAATTGTAGAGTCCTCACCCTATCCACCATGCTCGATGCAGCAGAAAGAGCGCCGTTGCTTGTTCTCCGAGATGGTCAATGCATCCTGAAATAGTTTAAGGAAGTATCGATTATATTGTGTGGTTACGAAACTGTCAGGTGCCCCAGACCTATGTTGCAAAACGATCAGTGTTCCCAACTAAAATCTGGTTCAAAACCTGTCCGCAGAACAGCAGGGTTTTGGCACTGCGCTACAGAGAGTTCGTTTTAGGGATTAAGGAACCACCCTCACTCTAACCGCATACCTAGAGCGTCAGGAGACTGACTTTGTCTAGCAAGTAACCATTAACCACTCTGTTCTCAATGGGTGTGAAGATGCAGGAGGCACCACCCAGCGTAGGTCAATGGATCTGTCCAAGAGAAAGTAAGCATTGCCTAGAAAACCCATCACAATGAGGCTGTACCTTACCGTGGTGCGATGGTTTGTGTACCTTAGTGATCCATTGAGCTATCCTGGGTGGTGCTTTTACACCTTCAGAGTCACTCATACCAGATTGCTCAATGGTTAGACGCCAGACAAACTCAGCCTCTTGACAGTATTTTGCCCACGCAATACAACAAACCATTCTTCTAACGATTCCTTGATGCTCTGGCCGTCGCAGATGATAATCAACGGTGCCCTATCTGCCGCATCGAGCAGAGTGGATAGTGGTTTGGATGCTACTGCTCAAGCCTTCCCGTCTTCTTATTCCCCATCTTACGCTTTTTCTCCCAACTTCACTTTTATCCCCCAGTTTTCAACCCCCCGATTCTTGGCCCTCCCCCAAGATGCTTTGCTAGGCGTTTATTTTCTAATTTCAACTCACATGCTAACGCGGAGTGTCACTCCTCTCGTGTCGACAAGCCCATGTCTAACCAAGCGATCCATTCCAGTTCATTGGCTTCCATTTGGAGCCTTCGATCCTCCTTCAGATTGACATGTCTCAATGTACGCACATTGCTACAGATCGGTCAACAGGCAGCACTTGCCCGAACATTGGAGACCCTCTCGATCGATATCTGCTGCTTATCAGAGACTCGCCTGCAAGACTCGACCTCTGTGCTCACTCTGCGATCCCCTTCAGGTGACACAAGCAGTGTTTTTTCATTACGCCTATCCGGTGACGATGCATCTTCGAGCACCGGCCAAGCTGGTGTTGGCATTGCCCTGATTCCTCGGGCTAAAACTGCTCTGGTTGATTGGATTCCAATCAGTAGCCGGATATGTGCGGTCCGATTGGCTGGCTCGTTCAAAGCTTCGAAGTCGCGCCGGACTAATAGGTGTCTATTCATCATCGCGGCCTACGCGCCCGCAAACTGTAGCGATGATTGGGTAAAAGACGACTTCTATCGTCAACTGAACCAGCTCCTTAGCCACAGAAGAAGCACGGCCA